AAAATATATGAAGCAAAAACTGACAGAATTACAAGGAAAATTAGAAAAAATCCAGAATTATAGTCAGACTAACAATATCCCTCTCTCAATACAACTAGGATGAACTCAAAGTAATTATGCTGACTAAAATATAACAGATAAAAAGGAATACACACTGTATAATTCCATGAATTTAAAACTCTACAAAATGCCAAAAAAAAAAAAAAAAAAATCCAAAAACTAACATATAGTGACAGAAAAAAGACATCAGCAGTTGCCTAGGAATTGAAGGGGTGTATTATCTTAAGATAGAATAGAGGTCTGGTTACAGAAGGGTACATGGAACTCTGGGGAATGACAGCTAAATTTTATATCTTGATTGTGGTTATAAATTCATGAGTATATACCTATGTCAAATTTTGCCAAACTATACACTTAAATATGTGGGGCCTTTTGCCAATCATATCTCAATAAAGCTGTTTAATGTATTATATAAAATAATCCATTACTCACCAGGCATGCAACAGCCCTAGAGATTAAAGCACTGAAGAACATGGACACAGGATTCATCAATACAGAACTCATAGTCTTTCCATAGAAAAGAAATCAAATACGGGACAGTCTATGAAGTAGCAGGTATTATTGTGACAGTACAGATTCTGAAATGTAGATTCTAATCTCTAAGTAACACATAAATCAAAAAGAAAATATGCAATATGAGTTAGCTAGGTAAAATATGGGGGAGGGGAAACACATTTACTGAATAAAGTTTCTAGGGAGGAAAAATCTATAAGATAACTATCCAGAAATAGAAAAAGACAAAGTGACATATACTGTTCACACAGCAGCGGGAATTTTAGAACCAGTTAATGACACTACTTAAGACAAGAGAATAAACCCCCAAGGTCTTTGGGCCCAGGGACCGTATCTTCATCCTCCCATCCTAAATGCAGAGCTTTCCCTGGACTGACACTGTGCTGAATTAATGTAAGTTCCTTGGGTTGGTGTAAAAGAAGTCAAGCTGTCAGGAGGAGCTCCTGAATCATACCTCACTCTCTCTAGAGATAATTTTTAAAGGAATTAACCTCTTTTTCATCCTCCACCTCTAGAAAATAACATAAGTCCCTCCATGTGAACTTTGTAGAAGTGTTAAGCTGATCTCTCTGTTTCCATCCCTCTCATTGTCCAAATTCAACCTTCACAGAGTCGGAAACCCAGGCCATGTATCCCAACCAGAAATCAAACCTAACTTCCCGGTTCATGGGCCCATGTTCAATCACTGAGTCACAACTGCTGGGCTACATGACAGTGTTTAAGAAACATCTCCACTTGGCAAGTTAAGAAGTTGAGCTTTTTATGACAGGTGAGCTTTATTTTTATTGAAAGGCCCCATGAAGAAATCTCGGAAACAATGACAAGAGAAAGTCCAAAAGACAAACAGTGCCCTCACCTATCTTAAGTCCTGTCCCCCTTTCCCAGGAGATTTTTTCCTCCTGTCCTGCATTCACTCAACTTATTGAGCATCTGCTATGGCAGTGGTCGGCAAACTCATTAGTCAACAGAGCCAATTATCAACAGTACAACGACTGAAACTTCTTTTGAGAGACACATTTTTTAAACTTAAACTACTTCTAACGCCACTTCTTCAAAATAGACTTGCCCAGGCCGTGGTATTTTGTGGAAGAGCCACGCTCAAGGGGCAAAAGAGCCGCAGTTTCCCGACCACAGTGCTATGCTAAGAGCAATGGCAGAGTAGTGAGTAAAGGAGAAACACCTCACAGTCTAGTGGTTCAAACGTATTAAATAATACAGATTTAGCCGAAACCGGTTTGGCTCAGTGGATAGAGTGTCAGCCTGCGAACTGAAAGGTCCCAGGTTCGATTCCGGCCAAGGGCATGTACATTGGTTGCGGGCACATCCCCAGTAGGGGGTGTGCAGGAGGCAGCTGGTCGATGATTCTCTCTCATCGATGTTTCTAACTACTGTGTTTCCCCGAAAATAAGACATCCCCTGAAAATAAGACCTAGCACAACTTTAGGAGAAAAAATTAATATAAGACACTGTCTTATTTTCGGGGAAACAGGGTATCTATCCCTCTCCCTTCCTCTCTGTGAAAAATCAATAAAATATATTAAAATAATACAGATTTGAAACTACTGATTGTACTGCCTTATGGAGAATGGAATGATGGAGCCCAAAAATGAAGACAGGAAGGATAGTCAAGGAAGCTACTATAGTTCAGGTAAGAGATAACTGTGAGTTAGACAAGGATAGAGGCATGAAGGAGCCAAAATCTTCCACTGGATTTGCTGACAGATTGAACAGAGGGGTTTAATGAAGAAATAACTCCATGACATCAACATAAGCAACTACACAGATCTGCACTAATGGTCCCAACTTTTTATGCCTCCCTGGGCCTATGCCATTTGGTATGCGATTGCTACAATTATTCTAGAGGTGACTATATAATTTGCTTACTTTAGGCCAAAGGTGTGCCGAGCCAGCACAGCCAGGTTTGGTGAGCCTGAGAGGGGGCGGTGAAGGATTGAGAAAAGACAGACAAGAGAAAAAAAGCTGATTGGGATGTGCTAACCTCTCCGATGGAGACAGCACCACAGCCGGAAAACCATGTCTTTATTTTATAGCCAGATTCCAGGGGGCAAAGGGCGGGCGTGGTTACAACATTCTGGTGAGTTTCGAATCTACTCAATGACATGCACCTGATCAAGCTTTATTTACTTGCTGCACCTCCTGCAGCCCACATCACTCAGCCACGTGGGACCACAGGTTCCCACCATAAGGTCAAGCTTATAACCACAGCCTTTGGCTATCACTGTGCTGGGAGGGCTTCACCCTCCAAACCAGGACTTGCACGTGGTTTTGCCACGAGAGGACCGTGACCTCTCACTAGTCCCAGGCTTGAACCTGTCCAAACGCTGTAGCTGTTCTCCACACAATGGGACAACAGCAAACTTATTCCAAGCAGTGGCTTGAGAACGTGTGCACTGCTACTTGTCTTTTGGAGTAAGCCTGGACTAGCCAGCTAAAGAATGAGAGACCGAGTGGAGCAGAGCTAAGTAGGGACCATCTGAGTTAACCTTAAGCCAGCCTGTAGCCAAAGAACCCCCAAACATAGGAAGTCCAGCCAAGATGAGCAGAGACACCTAGCAGAGCCATAATTGAACAAAAACAGAACCACTTACCTGATCTGTAGACTTATGAACAAAAACAGAGGGAGAGAGAAACATCAGTGATGAGATTCACTGATTGGCTGGCTCCCCTGCAGGGGATTGAACCCACAACCCAGGCATGTGCCCTCGACAGGAATTGAACCCGGGACCCTTCAGTCCACCGGCTGATGCTCTATCCACTGAGCAAACATGCTAGGGCTGGGATGACTTTTTAAATGCATAAACTAACTAAACATGGTGGTACCATTTACTGAGAGGGAGTGGAAAAGAAAACCAAGCTCATTGTATCAACTCTTACCTAACTCTAACCTCCAACGTTCAACTTAGATCTCGATTCCTCCGGGGAGCTTTCCCAGATCTCCCAGGCTGGTTTGGAAAGATTAAGTACTACCATTACGTTCTGTACATATCCCAACCACTGCTTTACCACATTATTTTATAATTATCTGTTTACTTTTCTTCCCAACTAGATAATTGCACTTGAGGAAGGGAAGGGATAGAGAGCCAGAAACATCTATCAGCTGCCTCCTGCACATCCCCCACTGGGGATGTGCCTGCAACCAAGGTACATGCTCCTGACCGGAATCGAACCTGGGGACCCTTCAGTCCACAGGCCGACGCTCTATCCACTGAGCCAAACCGGTTTGGGCGATAATTGCACTTTTATTTTACAGACTGTCATGCTCATCTTGACGTTCTCATGTACCATAAAGCAGGGTCCCAATAGACGTTTCTGAATTTTATAAATGAATTAAAACACATTACTTATTTGACACTATCAAATCTATGAACCGTAGATCAGTATTTCTCAAAGTGTGACCTACAGACAACATGCGCCAGAATCAGCAGGGGTGTGTATTAAAAACGCAAATCTCTGGGTTCTCTATCCTCTATGAAAATGCCATTCTTCACCTTGTTGTTGTTTTTTTGTTTTGTTTTAAAAAAAAAGGTCAAGTGCTGACTATCTGGCCTGCTACAGATAAACACAAGTGGTCGTAAGAAGTATGGGTAGGAAAATCTCGACTCTTCCTCACAATGTCCTAGAGCTGTTCTCTACAAACCAGTCCCCTTCTTTGGCTAATATCACCCAGGTAACTGAACATGCTCAGAACTACAATAGTTTCTCTGTTTAAGAAATGGTCCGGCCGAAACCGGTTTGGCTCAGTGGATAGAGCATTGGTCTGCGGACTGAAAGGTCCAGAGCATGCACCTTGATTGCGGGCACATCCCCAGTGGGGGGTGTGCAGGAGGCAGCTAGCTGATCCATGATTCTCTCTCATGGATGTTTCTAGCTCTCTATCCCTCTCTTTTCCTCTCTGTAAAAAATCAATAAAATAAATATATATATATATATATATATATATATATATATATATATATATATTTTTTTTTTTTTTTTTAATGGGTCGGACTCAGCCAGAAGCAGCAGGGCAGCAGGACCTGGGGTCCTCCAAAGAGGGGTGACTTCTACACGCACAGGTTCCCAGAAGAGGCTCCAGGGGAAAGCAAGTGCTGAGCTTTCTCCGAAGGCAGGGCAGGGCCAGGCCGGGCCAGGCCGGACAGGCGGTCTCGGTCCGAGCAGCCTCTGCGTGCGGGGCCGCGGGGCCCCGGAGCCGGCGGCCGAGGGGGTCCCGCCGCAGAAGAGCTGCGAGCAGGTGGCTCCCACCAAGGTCCGGGATGGACATCCTTCTCCAGAAACCGCCACCCCCGAGCCCGCCCCGGGGCAGAAAGGAAGAAAGATGCGGGAAGGGGCTGGCCCTCGGCACCCGAAAGAAAAATAATAGGAAAAGAGTTCAAGGGGCCGCCGCCGCCGCCGCCGCCGCTTCCCACCTGCTTCTAGTTCCAGCTCGTAACAGGGCAGCGGCTCGAGGGAGAGTTTGTAACCCTCGAAGCGGGGATCCAACAGAGGTCTCTTCACCCGCAGCGAGCAATTAGCGGCCACCTCCATCGCCCTCCAGGATCCTAGCGGGGAGAATTAATAAAGCTCTTGTTGAAAGGTCCGCGCTTCCCTCCGCGTCGCGCCGGGGCTGGGAGGCGGCAGCGTGGGTCCCATCCCACTAATCACCGCGGTGCGGCAGCGTGCCCCCTCCTGGGAAATGTAGTGCCCGCGAGAGAAAGAGCGCGTCGACGGTGGCATGCCGGGATATGTAGTTTCCAGAAGGCGCCCCGCCAAAGCGCGACAGTACGGAGCTGGACTCTCTTACCCAGAGGGCCGAGCGGCCAAGGAGGCGGCCCTCGCCGGTGAAAAGAGTCTCACCTGATAGGCAGGGAGGCGAGGGCCCCGCCCCGGAAATGCGTGTGCTAGCTTTCTGTGTGCTTAGGCGCCCGAGCTACTGAGGGTCTAAGTCCGGGCGGCCGAAGAGTGTGGTAGGTAACGGTCGCCAGCGCAAGGGTCATTTCGTCGCTGGGAAGGGACGGCCCTCGCCCGCGGTGATGGTGGTGAGCTATGCCCGTGGTCCTCAGGGCCGGGACCCGGGCCCAGCCCAGGCTCCTTCCCGATGTGCTGTCTTTTCGTTATAGCTTCCCCGACCCGCGCTCGCGGGCCTGCAGGGCTCTCCGACTGGGCGTGCTCCGGAGTTGGCCTGGAGCCAGTCCTCGCTTTGTGTTCTGGCTCCTCCCCTCCCGCCTCTCCGCTGTCTCCGCCCCGTTCTCTCCCCCGAGAACCACTGGACTGGGAGGGATCCCCCTAGCGCCCTGGTTTTTACCGGTGAGAAAACTGAGGTCTTTTTTTTTTTTTTTTTTAAGAATGGACTTGTCCAAGGTCACTATCCGTATTTTTTTTAGGGGCCAAAGGCGAGATGAAGGGTTCCGTAATTCTGGGGATGCTACTGGACTGGACCTTAGAGAATTGTTTTCGAAAAGGTTAACCTCCCAGGTACAGAAGCAAGCATGTTCTGGTCCTTGCTCAAGCCCTGCTTTTTCCATTGCACTTGGGAAAAAGAAAAAGAAAAAAGAAATTTCAACTCTGAGAAGCCCCTGCCGGCCTGAGTTTTCCTGCAGGGCACATGCATGGCTGGCAGCAGAAGCCCGTCTGGGCTCAGGGGCGGGCGGAATGCCAGCTGGTTCCAAGTTCCCCAGCCTGGCCTCCTCCTCTCTCTTCTTGCTGCACCATTTTGGTTTGGGCTGCCTGTTTTTACTGGAAATGGAGAATTTTCCAAGTTGGGGATTAGTTTGGGATTTGTTTTTCTCCCACCAGCAGGCTTTGATCGAGAGCAAAAAGCACAAATATAAAAAAAAAAGACTTGACAGCTAGCTTAGCCGACCTGATTCTGGATACGTCCCTCGTGAGAAGCGAAGCACTTACAATCTTAACCTGGAAATGTGTTCTTTTCACCAACAGTGCTTAATCTTTTATTTAATGTATTTTATTGATTTTTTTTTTTTTTTTTACAGAGAGGAAGAGAGAGGGATAGAGAGTTAGAAACATTGATGAGAGAGAATCATCGATCAGCTTCCCCTTGCACACCCCCCATTGGGGACGTGCCTCTGACCGGAATCGAAACCGGGACCCTTCAGCCCCGCAGGCTGACGCCCTATCCACTGAGCCAAATCGATTTCGGCATTAATCTTTTACTGATTGATCCTTAGCCTATGTTAGTATGGCTTCCCCAGAATTTGGAACAGAAATGATTACCTGTCCGTAATAATGAGCTGTTCAAGCGTTTGGGGGCGGTGTCGAAGCCACCAGGGTTCAAAACTACTGTCATGACTTTCTGCCTCAGTTTCCTCATCTGTAAAATGTAGATGATGTGAATGATGCTTACATAAGACAATAGGTTCTGGGAGTTGAATGAGTTAAAAAAAACAAAACAAAAAACAACAATGTGTTAGCCCAGGACCAGGCACATAAGTGTTTAGTAAATGTTACAATACGTGCTACTTACAGACTCATTTTAATAAAGGGTATATGTAGGAAGGGAGCTGTTGAGTGAGTTTATCCGTATGCCTTCTTGGGATGCAGTAATGACATTGTTAACACATTGTTGGTATTTATCGCCCCTTCAGTTGATAGAATGTGATAGGTGTGGAGGTGCTTGCCTAGAGGATTTAGGAGGAAATGCTTTATTAGTGTTCTATATCTGAAAATACGTGTTGATGTTCAGGTTAGCAAGATGAACAAAGATGCGCAGATGAGAGCAGCGATTAACCAAAAGTTGATAGAAACCGGAGAAAGAGAACGGTGAGTAATATAGACTGTGTGAATAATTACATCTAACACCTTTAAATTACAGTTACGTTATATACAAGAACCGAAATATGAAGGAATGAAACTGATGTCAGTGGAAAGAATTACAGAAAAATAGATTGTCAAAAGCTTCCGTTCCTAACATCTATAAACCATAGTTAGGCCTATATAGTATTGCAAGACTTAGAGGGAAGTGATGTAGAAAGATAAACAAGAAATGACTCAGAGATTGTATAATAGCAAAAAAATTCCTAAATAACTACAGTTGGAGATATAATGATCCCACTCTTGAACAGGGAAACAGCATAATAGAATCAGTATTAGTTACCACGCTCTTTTTTAATACTCATCCAACGATCTGAAACATTCCTCTTTTTTTCTCCTAATCTTTAGCTACTTCTAGCTCATCTTTCAAGTCTTAATTTAAATATTTCTTTTGAGTATCTCTTAATTCCCAAATACCTTGGTCTATCAGAACATTTAACACTGTATCGTGACCACCTACTTAGCTAGTTTGTATCCTTCAATATAATCTTAAGTTACTTGACAGCAGAAATACAAGTGTATATCCAGGATCACACCTAGTTCTTAATTGAACGAAAAGGTTTGCAAGTACAAAGGAGAGGCTGAGGAATTAAGAAAGGCTTCCAGAAACAGGGTGATGAATTGTGAGATAAATATATGTAGGGAACCTGTGGGGTAAGGTGATCAGTTAAGATCTCACAGAACAGTAAAAGGCGTACTTCAGTTGGGGAAGAAGGATTAGCAGTTTTTCAAGCCAAAGTAGACAATCTAGGCAGATGGAACAATGTGCAAAATCCCAGCTTCTGGGGAAGTGCAGCATTAAAGCTAGGAGGAGATAAAGAGTATTCGCTGTGTGGACAGGAGGAGTAGACTTTGTATAAGATTTTTTTAGTGGAAAGTGATAGAAACTGGCTTACCTAATGGAAATACATAAGCTCTTCTAACCGAAAAGTCTAGAGCTTAAAATTGCTTCAGGCACCGCTGGGTTCAGGCACTCAAAAATTATTGTCAACAATATATCGTTCTTTGCCTCTCTGCTCTGCTTTCCTCTGTGTTGGCTTTATTCTCAGGCAGGCTCTCCCTACAGGGATTAGTAATTCAAAATGTATAGCCCTCTGGCTCAGACTGCCTTCCTCCTAATAGTTTAATAAAGAACTGCCTTGATTACCGTCTTACTTAGGTAATAGGCCAGTCATGATCACCCTTGCCTCGGTCCCATGTCCATCACTAGACCCTACCCAGATGTCTTCCACTGAGAGTGATAGAGGTTTTTCGTTTTTTTGTGTGTGTTTTTTTCTTCTGTCAAAAAAAAAAGGGGGGGGGGGGAGGACAGGAAAATGGGTGGTGGGTTTGCAAAAACATCTGTTGTTGATTTTATCCTTGGCTGTTGGGAGGCATTAAAAGGTTTTTTTTAAGGGAATGACTAGATCACATTTGCACTTCAGGAATGTTATTCTGGCAGTGTGGAGCACAGACTGGAAGCATTAGCGACAATACAGAAGATTATATTGGGTTAAAAATGAAAAACAGTAAAATGGAAAGGAAAACTAGGTTGTGGTTTTTTGTTTTTTTTAAGTAAAATCGGAAATGAGGAAGAAAGTGAAAACTAGAAAGGTGCCTTGGGAAACTGAGAGGATAGTATTGCCAGTAATGAGTGTAGGGGACTATGTATTTGTTTGTTTATTTCATGCAGCTTAGTTACTGAGTTTCTACCACATGCCATGTCCTGCTAAGGTGCTGAAGTGATAGTAGTGAACAAAGTGAAGTCTGTCCTTTCATGGGACTTGCATGCTAATGGGGGAAAACAGACAAGAAATGTCTAATATGTCAGGTAATGATGAGTTCTATAGGGAAACCAAAGCAGAGGATAATGGGGTATGTTATTTTGGAGAGAAAAAATAGGGCTTCACTGATAAGAGATCAGAAGGATATGAGGGAGATGGATGGACTCCAAGGTCCCAAGATAGGAACTTTTTGGCATTTTGAGAAGCACATGGAAGCTAATGGCACTGAATAAATTAAAGGGGGAAAGAAGAAGGGCACAGCTGGGGAGGGGCAGATCCTGGAGGCTCGTTTAGGCTATGGTAAAACTTGAAGTTGATTCAGGGTAAAATAGGAAGCCAATGGAGAGTTTTCAGCGGTGGGAGGAGAATGGAAGTGTGCAAGGAGAAAAAGCAGGGGAACAAGTTAGGAGGCTTTGGGAACAATCCAGTCTAGACAAGGTGGTAGCTTGCACAAGGGCAGAGATGATGAAAAACAGGGGTACAGGTACGTATTTTAAAACTGGAACCAGTAGGATTTGCTCATGGGTTGGATGTGTAGTGCAAACAGTTGCGGTGAAGTACGCTGCCAAGTTCTAGCCTGAGGAACTGGAAGAATGGAGTTGCCCTCCTGACAAGGAGAACAGGTTGAGGGTGGAGAGAAGTGTGAGTTGGGCTTGTGCCCTGTACAGATGGAGTGACCTGATTTAATATTGAGATGAAAATGTCCCATGGTGGAGATACAGGAATATTGAAAGAAGCAGTTTGGTTTGGAATATGACATGTTTTAAGCTGAGAAATAAGATGATTTAGGTTGAAGAATGAGGATTTTTTTTAGAGTGGGTATGGAAAAGGAACAGAAAGTACTGATAAACTATTTTATTACATCCATGATGCCATTAGTTGCAATATACACCTTTTTTTAAACCAGTAAGAAACAAGAAAACCCTGCTGATTAAATTATGATAGGGCCCTGGCCAGGTAGCTTGGTTGGTTGGAGCGTCTTCCCGTGAGCCAAGGTTTCGGATTTGATCTCAGGTCAGAGCATATACAAGAATCAATCAATGCATCAATTCAATGGAACAACAAATTTCTCTTCCTCTATCCCTCTCCCTCTTTCCCTCCTCCTTCTCTCCCCTCCTTCCCTTTTCTTCCCTCCGTTCTTTTCCTCTCGTTATACCTTCCTACCTACCTAGCTCTCTAAAAATCAATAAATAAAAAAATTTAAATGATGATAGGCATGCCATTTACTGAATTGTTAAAGTGTGTGTGTGTAGGGGGGAGTGTTAGATTCATGAAATACATAATTGATGTATCATTTAGAAGGTTAATGGGAAAAGGGAGGGGGAAGTCTTTGAGATTAGAGAGAGAAATAATGGGGAAGTAAGAGAATTGAAGGATAAGAATTTGTAGTCAAGGAAGGGATTTTGGAGTTTGAAGATTTCAGAGGTGCAGCTGCTCCAAGCTCAGCTAATACCCTCCAAAAGTGTAGCCCCACAATGTTCCTGTTGGTGGAGGGAGGTAGACAGGGAATAAGAAGGCCAGAGTCGAGTTTCTTGAGAAGTATTGTGCCCCATCCTCTTCATTTTACTTTGCTGGTAATTGAAGGGTTGAACTTGTGATTGAAACATTCCTATCTGAGATACTCCACATTGTTGTAGTTTAATTTGAAAACACTTTTTTTCCTACAGCCTCAAAGAGTTGCTGAGAGCTAAATTAATTGAATGTGGCTGGAAGGATCAATTGAAGGCACACTGTAAAGGTAATCAGTTTCATTTAGAAGATAAGCTAATTCCATTGTTCTCTGTTGGTTTGACGTTCACTAGAAAAATTACAGTCAGTATTTTAAATGTATATAAGTGGTCAGACATAATTTTAAACAAATGGAAAATTGATTCTTATAGTGATGATTTCCTCCCCTCTGTGATACAATGTAGACCTAATTCCTAAATTTATTGGAATTTTGTGTGTATTTCTCTTAAAACAAGTGAAGCAGAATTTTCTATGGCTTTAAAATATAGAATCTCACTTTTTTCAGTGTGCCTATCCAAAGTGAAACATTCCTTATTCCTAACACGTTTTAATTTAACCAACTGAGTACTTTATGGTTGTTAGGTACTTAGGAATTATCTCTCTTGTCTTTAACAGTGTTATTTTGAAAAATTCATGTTAAAAGCTCTTAGGGAATTATACTTTTTTGAAATGTAGAATGGGGATTTGTTAAATTGCTTAATGTTGATGATGATGCCATTAGATAGATTACACGTGTCACTGTGATGAGCCTCCTTTCTGCTCAGCTTTTAGTATAATAGCATTTTGGTTATTTTTAATGATTTCCCATTGTATTGTAATGGTTTCTACAGGTAATAATGATAATAGTGACTATTTATAACATTAGCTAATTATGACAAATTAGTAAAAGCATAGACTTTGAGATCATACAGCTCTTCACTGGTACAAGACTAGAGCTGTATTTCAACTCATGTTTGGATGAGTTATTTAATCTTTAATCTTCAGTTGCCTCATCTGTGAAGCGGGGAAAAATGCCCAGCCCATTTAACTTTGTGAATATTAAATGATGTAAAGCATCCAACACATAGAAGGGGTTCAGTAAACGTTAACTACTTTCCCTCTTATTTCTTTTGGCCCAGACTAGAGAAGAGAAAGGAGCAAAGAAGTTTTGTATTTTCATCTTGGGCTATGAAATTTTAAATTGGACACAAATAATAGCTTTTTCCCCCTCCACACACTTAAGAGCTAGTATAACAGTGAAATAAGATCTGTGCAGCTATAAATTTCTAGCTTTTTATAACTGTTAGATTTGACCTTATCGTTCAAATTCTTTCTGTGCTATATTTAAGTTAAAATTATTTACCTGAGAGATGAACAGGCTTTTATGATATCTGGTGAATACTTAATGTGTTTAAAGTTGAATTAAATATTCAATAAAAAAGAAGTGTCCTCTTTTTTTAAAAAAAGACCAATCTGTACTCTAAAAACATGATCTTAACCCTTCCTCTATGAAAATCTTTCTTACAGATAATGATTTTAAATGATATGATTTGTTTTTTGCTTTTGCATAAGAGGTAATTAAAGAAAAAGGACTAGAACACGTTACTGTTGATGACTTGGTGGCTGAAATCACACCAAAAGGCAGAGGTAAGGAATACAAATTGTGTGAAAGGAAACGTGCTAAAGACATGACTTTTTCTGTCGTGCTGGCTCAGCTTTTCCTTCTTCCCACAAGGAAAGACAGCTTTTCCAGAATCATTTGGCGAGTTGGTGTTCCCTCATTAGGAACAATTATAATTGTCTCCCTGCCTCCCTAGCATGGTTTTGAGTAACAGATGAAATAAGAGGTGTGAAATATTTTTGCACTCTGAAACAGTATACAAAGAAATTGACATGATTGGTAAGAAAGACATTTTTTAAAATATGGGATCTTGTAGAGGTAAATATACCTGAAGCTAAGATTTATAAACTATTAAATATGGCCTGACTTCACTTAATATTTAATAATTCAAAGTTTTACTCCTGTCCCTGAGTCATTGCTCTATTGCTTTGCTTATTAAAAATAAACAAAGCTCTGTCTTCTTGAATGTCTAATTAAGAATGTAGTAGCGCCATAACTTCATGTTCAGGGTAACCCATGATTAAGATTCACACTGTAACCACCTAATTTCCCCCTTTACTGCCTTGTTTACAGCAGGCAAAGGAAAGAGAAGTATGTTAACATTGACGTTATGTAATAAATATTGTCAGGAAACTACATTATGTGGTTATCTCAGATGGACCTACATTTTCCCCCCATTTACTTTGAGAAAGTTTAAGTGAAACCAGGTAAATTAGATGATCTATTGTTTCCTCACACAAAAATAGTAAAAACAATTTACGTGTAAATAAGTAAATACGTTTGAAAACTATTCTTAGAAACTACTAGTTCTCTGAATTGCTTACCTGGTAGGAAGGAGCTAGGAATCCTTTGGTCCTTTCCATCATATCTTTTGGCCTAGTTACAGCTACAGAAACCTGACCTTTTCTCTACACATATCTCAGAGAACGAAAAATAAAACCAACAGTATGTATTGTTTTACTCATTAATTTATATTTTTAAAGTGATTTTGCCTAAATTTGTTTTCTATTTTTCTTCAGTAATTTATGCCTAATTTGTTAACATTAGTTAGGAACCGGTTATACAGGCTAGAAATTGTCCTTTGCTCCTCCTTCAACACTGATATCTTGGACATAGCAGTTCTTTGTAGCTCCCCTGCAAGAAAATGAGAAAGGAAGAAGAGAACTGAAAATAAATCTGTTCTCTTAGTCTTCTTTATGGTGAAGAGTAGAAGCATTTTACTTTTTTAAATATACAGTAAAATTGACCTTTTTAGTGTGCAGTTCTGTGACTTTTACACATGTATGAATTCATATAACCACCACTCCATTCAAGCAATCCCTTTGTATTCATTCACACCCTATCCCTACCCAAAGGCAAAGCATCTGTTCTCCATCACCTAAAAGTATATTTAATAAACATATTGATCACATTTCCAGTGGACTTGAATTAACCATGTGGTCTCTCTTTCTAAACAGGCTAAAACTAAACAATTTATAGAGGAGTATCTGTCTCATCTGATTTGTGTACTTATTTCTGAAATTCTTATAGAAATACTTACCTATATCTGAAGCCTTCTATTTCCTCTGAGTACAAGCATATAGCATAAGAAGTGTTAGTTAATCCTCTATTGTCCTTATTTATTAGGTAATTAGAAAAGGAACAGTAATGTAGATTTGTTTATTGATATTTAATATTAAAATTTCCAAAGGTAGGGTTTTTTTTTCTTTTCATTTTTTGTTTAATAATCCAAATAGTACAGTCACATGGTTTAAATTAAAAAAATAAAAATACAAGAAATGTAACCACTGTTGTGGTTTTTGCTTCTTTGCTGAGTCAGAGAGTATGCATTTATTTCTATAAAATATTGTCGAATTACCTTCCCAAAAATGTTGGAACAATTTATACTCCCACCAGCTAATATGAGAGTGCTAGTTTTTCCCTCAGTCTTGCCAACACAGTATATTATTAACCATTGGATTTTAGCCAATCTGATTGGTCAAACATGTTATCTGAATGTGGTTTTAATTTTCATTTTCTTGTAAGGTTTATCCCCTCGTATGTTCAAGAACTGTATGTTTCTCCTATTCATCTCCTGTGCTCATTTTTCTAAAGCCCACTAATCTTTCTTATCAAATTGAGAAAATTTTAGAGTAGAGAGATTAGTCCATTTCTGTAAAAGTGTTTTCCCAGTTTTTGTCTTTTGCCTTTGTTTACAGTGATTTTGATCAAGCTTCTTAAGTTGCTTTTCCATTTGAATTACATTTACCAAACTGTTACAGTCTCTGTGTTTTAAAAAGTCTGTTTTTCACTTCGTTTAAAGAATTTTCCCATGTTTCTTCTCAATGTTCCATTTATTTCGTTATTATTTCACTCAAATAATAATTGAAAATATACTTTATTTTTTCAGAAGTTTATCTAATTTGTTATTAAAGCTCGTGAGGGTATCTACAAAATGAATTATAAATAAATTTTAGGTCAGTAAGTCATCCTGAAAAAAAAACATCAAGTCTAAAATTGGCGGATATTCATTGGAATCTTCCTACTCTTATATTTTTATTTTTATATTTCAGCCCTGGTACCTGACAGTGTAAAGAAGGAGCTTCTACAAAGAATAAGAACATTCCTTGCTCAGCATGCCAGCCTTTAAGATTGAATTAGATTGTGTTGTTTTGTGGTCTTATTTCTGAAAGTAAAACTTGCCATAAATTAGGAATCGCTTTCCCCAAATAAAATCCTTTTTTGTATGATGGTATACAGTTTTCGGTAATGATGTATACATTGTATTGATTTTTTTCCCCTAAATGTGTTATTTTAATAAATATCTCATGAATGAGTTTGAAGTTTCCTTGGATCTTGGAATAAGTGGGACTTTTCAACAATGCACCAGATTTGTTGAGAGAAAAAGTCATCAAATAATATACTTTGTTAAGTATGTACATGTTTCTGTGCTAACAACTGAGGAGAAGTAAGCTGCCTCTTCTGATTGTCGAGATATGGTATGTTTCTCTTGAATCCCTATACTATTTTATAATACATGTCCCATCTTGTACTACAGTTGTCTTATTTGTTATAAACTCTTAAGAGTTAGGACTGGGTCTTACTCATCTTTATGTGCCTTCCTTATTCCTCAAAGAATTTACCATCCTATTGGAAGAGAGAACATTTGCAAACTGGCTTCATCCCAAGCTCCTCTCACACATCTACTCATCTGAACTTTGAAAAACAGAAACTCTAAATTACATCCCCACATACTAAGGTCAAGGAAGAACTTAATGGGAAATAATCTGCACCCATAGCTTTACTCTGACATCAAGATTGCCAAATCCAATGGACTCTTGTCTGTACTTGTGTGACCTCTGCTGGAAACTGAGAATGTTGAGCATCCTGCCACTGGAACTTTGCTCCCTCTCCTCACAGTGTTTATTCCCACCACTGGAAGCTCCTCCTGTTTCTCGTGGAGTACCTTGTGCTGTATGGGACTGGAAATAATGGTATTTCTTAGGGCTTGCTCATGGGCCCTCTGCCTGACTAATGATATGCTTTTCCTGGGAAAATCCCAGGAAACAGGTCGGACCATGACTTCAAGTACTGACAGGTCAATAAATTGTAAATTGCATCACCAAACCAGACTTCAACCCAGCCTCCATACCCGTATGCCCACCTGCTGTGGATGAGCTTCCTTGGATGTTCCACGAACACCTGAAACTTCCCACACCTAAGATAGTGACTTTTTCCCTCCTAGTAACTACCCCTGCTGTAGTCCTTAATGTGAGCAGTACCTCCCAGACATGCGTATTACCTCAGGGGCATGTGAAAATACTGATTCAGAAGGTAAGGTATTGCACAAGAGTCTTTCTGACAATCCCAGTCACTGCTTATGCTGCTGATCGAGGACCACTTTGAGTGGCAAGATTGTCAGGTGTCCTCTCCCTGCCCTCTTAACTGCCTTAGTTCAAGCCCAAACTAGTGCAGTAAGTATCTAATGTCTCCTTGCTCTAGTTCTCCATGCATCCTCCAGTACCTTCCACAGTTGCCTAAGTGACCTTACTGAAATTCAGGCTTGGTCAGTTTATTCCCCTTGAAACTTCAATGGTTTTTCCTGGTTTGCAGGGTAAAATTTCACACTCAGCCATAGCACCTATGCCCTGTTGATCAGATGTTTACTTACTTCTCTAGTTAAAAAGAGTTCCCCAAAATACCAAGTTGTTCATCCTTAAATGCAGTTGAAAGTCCACCAAGCTAGAAAGCCCTTTTACTTATCTCTTACTTGGCATTTCTATTTGGATTTAGATTTCCCACTGTTGCTTTTCTATCAGAAGCACCTGTGCATAATTTCAATACAATAGTTTTAGAGCTTGTGCATGCATGCATCTCCTAGAGTGGATGGGTCTCCTTCCCTCTTCCCCCCTACCCTTTTTCTCTCCCTTTCATGCTTATTTCTGGGTGAGCAAAATAAATTAAAGAACACAGAAGCACAAAAGAAAGTAAAAATGCAATTGAGAATGTTTGAAGAAAGGCTTCACATTAGTTTTTGGTTCAAGTTCCACAGGTACAATTTTACTGTCTGATTTATATTTTAAGTGTAGCCTTGGGGCCAACTAGGCTTAATTTTGTAAAATGTTGAACCTAAGACATACACAATCATAAAACCTACCCCAAAGAGTTTTTGTTTCATCTCATAAAGCAATGATCTAAAGTTAAATGATAGTTATATTCATCATTCTGCTACCCTTTATCAAAAAAGAAACTAATGGTACAGAGGAAATGTTAAAAACTGGTAGTTTTTGTTTTACAGTATTGTATATAAAAACAAAAAATTGCTCATAGTAATGCTATTTTAATAGTTCAGAACAAAATATGAGAAAAGGAAAAGTTGCAAAAATATTTTGAGATGGAACAAAAAAAATTTGAATTGAAAATACTTTACAGCAATTAAAAGTACTGAAAAGCATAGCTTTAAAATGATAGTGCCAAGAATTCCCCCCACCATCTCTAGGTGGTTATGGGGGGGGGCATCTAATAAATGTCTTGTAGTTTGCATCTAGAACCATTGATATCTTTCAAATAAACAAACTTTGTGAACATCTTGACTCACATCATTGATTCATGTTAACCAAGAATACATTCTTTAAATATCTTTCAACCTTTCATTCTCAGTGTTGGAAATTCAATAGGAGATTATTGTTACGTGCCTGCATTGGGTGAGTAAAATACTAATTAGGGTTACTATAAGCTTTTTTTAATTAGGATTAGAAGACCCAACTAAATTATTTAGGTATTCACTTTGCTTTGGCATTACAAGTATCATTTGGCTGAACAGTGCCAAGCGAGGGCCTGGGTGATGCTGGCTGGGGACTGGTAATTGGATATGGGACTTTTCATAACTCGATAAAAGGCTCCGTCCATCTCAAGAGAATTGTGACAGCTGCTCAGTAGCTGATGTTGGAAGTGATCCAATGTGTGCGTTTGTGTTTTAACCCTTCTTGCAAATTGCTATCTCATGTTACTCAGTGACTTCATAAAACCCTACATATTTACCATTAGAAACCACACAGGGTCATAGGATGAATCCACCAAGAAAATTAACAAGCCCAATAAAACAATTCGAGTTCTAGACTCAACTATGACACTGAATTATCAGGTAAGAACTGCCTCTTCTGCCTCAGTTTCCTCATCTGCATATTAGATCTGATAATGCTGACCTGGCAAGAATTAAGATAATTTTAAAACTGTAAATATGAATAGGGTAGGAATATGGATAAAAAAGTAATATGGATACTCATAAAACGCAATATGGATTAATTTTATTCCTAGGAAGAACTCTAAAAATATGTATGTATGTGTTTTCTAGATTTATATAGTTATATAAATTATACTTAATGTGGAAAATAGCTGCTTTTGTTTTCCAGGAATTTGTAGATAATATTAATTACCATGAAACTTACTGCAAAAATAAAGATGACCGACATTACTTAATAAATACCATATAATAGCACTTAGCAGGGAGGTTTGAAACTACTCATTTTCACCCACATTCTACTTACTATAAACAGTTTGTGTCATAGAGGAGTTTATCTTTTGATCCTATTTATCTTTTTATTTATTTTGATTCTAATTGCATAACAGAGTTAATTCCTGATAATTTTTTTTTTAATGAGTGAATGAATAAATGAGATGAGGGAAAGAAATTTGGCATGTGCCAGTTTATTCCAGACTTTGAATTATACATCCTTGGTTGTTCTGCTTGTCAGCCACCAGGGGACACTTGAAGCCTGTTTTTCAACCTCTCTGGAGGAAATGGGTCATCCCAACAGGCCCAATTCCAGCTCAAGCCAGGCAGCTTCTTCAAGATGAAAGTGTTATTGAATTAAAACTTAATTGTGAGGACCTCAGAACATGCTGCTGTTATAAATTAAGGTGAAGTTACCAGTGAGATGCAGATATTGTTTTATTTTCCAAAAGCCAATTCACTGATGCAGGAAGCCAGTTGATTTAAATGGCATACACCCATGACTGATATATTTCTATTTCAGCTACTTTATAAAAAAGAAAAAGAAGCAGAGTAAATTCTTAATAAAACGTTAAATAAAATAACTTCCAGTGTCTAGTTTTTTGTCATTATATTCCCCTTTCATACAAGGCCCTTTTAAAGGAATAATATTCATGTTTTCCTTTTTTATACCATGTCACTGTGCATATATGTATTTTTTAAGTGTATAAATAAAGAATAATATAGTGCCCAAATCATGTGGGCATTCAATGAATGTTGGCTTATGATGACAATGGTGAAAAAAGGCAATAAATGAAAATAGACAGTCTCTGCTCACGGTATAATGTTGCTCAGGAAATAGTTTTGAGTACAAGAGCTGGTGCCAGTACTTACCACATCTATAAATGCTTTGGCTTTGTGCCTAGGCTCACCAGAAGGAAGGAATGATAAATGGCTTTGTTACTGTATACCTTCTCATTTCAAAATTACTTGTTGAGAGCACACCTTTGAGAACGTATCCTTCCCAGATAGCTTCTTACACTGGGTTTCACAGGGTAAGAAGCTCAAAGTAGAGCAATGGAAATAGAGACGTCAGTGAAACCACAGCCCACCTGATGTAGCGGTACCCATTGTGTTACTTGGGGAGCATTAAGTCTGGCACACATAATTTGTGAGGGAGTGTGCTGGTTGTCAACTCAGTTTTACCACTAATGTGCTTAATGACTTCTTCAGTCACTTACATGTCCCATGTGGCCACACAACTCCTGTCTTCCAGGGATGCTAGGAGGTAATAACATATGAGATTTGTGGACACTCTTCTTAGGAAGTATGATGTAAAGTCTAAGTGATGGTCAAGGATATAAGTCCTTATGTACTTCTCTTATCAATAGTGCTCACAAGTAGTTTTGTGTATGGGACCTAGCTCCCACATTTTTTTTTTAAATATATTTTTTATTTATTTTTTACAGAGAGGAAGGGAGAGAGATAGAGAGCCAGAAACGTCGATGAGAGAGAAACATCGACCAGCCGCCTCCTGCACATCCCCTACCGGGGATGTGCCCGCAGCCAACGTACATGCCCTTGACCGGAATCGAACCCGGGACCTTTTAATCCGCAGACCGACGCTCTACCACCGAGCCAAACCGGTTTCGGCTAGC